CTTCTTTGTTCCCATCTGTTTTTTTTTTTTTTTTGTCTCTACCATCGTTTTTTTTTTTTTTTTGTCTCTACCATCGTTGTTTCTTTTTCTTTTTTTGTTTGTTTTGCTAAACATTTTTAACAATTTGTCAACTGCCCTATTGTCACTGGGAATTGGGTGGAGGAGGAGGAGGAGGAGGAGGATGGTGATGGTGATAACAATAGCCAGAATTGAAAAATCATCAAATGATTCAAAGTGTAGATTGTGCAAAGAAGCAGAAGAAACAGTAGATCATATACTCAGCTTGTGCAAGATTGCACAAACTGACTATAAACAATGACATAACAGAGTCACCAAAATGATTCACTGAAAGATCTGTAAAAATTATCATCTGCCAGTAATGAAAAATTGGTGGGAACGTACAGTTGAAAAAGTAGTTGACAATGAGCAGGTTAAAATACTGTGGGATTTCTAAATACAAACTGTTAAAGTTTTAGCACATAACACACCAGATTTAACTGTGACTGAAAAGAAGTGTGGATAATTGTTGTGGCAATACCAGGGGATAGTAGAATAGAAGACAAAGAATTGGAGAAGATCAGAAAGTATCAAGATCTGAAAATCCAAGTAGAAAGGTTAAGGCATAAACTGGCAGTGGTGGTCCCACTGGTTATCAGCACACTGGGTACCATACCAAAAAACCTTGGATGGCACTTAGAAAATCTGTACATTGACAAAATTTCCATCTGTCAATTGCAAAAGGCCACACTGTTTGGATCTGGACATATACTACACCAATGCATTATGACATCCTAGGCTCTTGGGAAGAATTTGATGTGAATGAAGGCCAATATAAGTTAGAGAACTGGCAGCTGTGATTTCATGTTGTTGCATATAATAATAATCCCTCTGCTCTTCCTGCTGACGCCCTTTGCCCCTCTTACTAGAACAGATGTGGAGCTCCCCTCTGTCTAACTTAGGAGTGTACAACTTTTCAGAATAGGACTCTACTTCACTGTTGAATGGTGTACTGGGACCCATTCTCCAAAAAGCAAGTAGAGCCAGAACAAAAACTAAATTAGATTAAAATATAATTGAAATCAAATCACTTCAATGTAATTAATATGATTATTCCATTTGTATTTAAGAATGCCTCCATCTGTCAAGTCAAAAGTAACAATTTGGTGATAATGTTTTGAAGGACTATAGGAATTGCACACTACACTTTGCAGGGTGGAGGCACTCAAGAGATTCTTGGGAACTCAGGTTATGCAACCTTGTCCCAGATCACCAATCAGCAGCAGTCTCTTTCCAGCATGCTACAGCCCTCATCCCCTGCTGCCATGAATCACTGCTGGATTTTGGGTAACTAGGAAGGGCTTTGGGAAAAGCACACAACTACTGAAATATTTCATTTGCAATTTTAATTGGCTTATCTGAGACAAAGAAGTGATGACAGAGTTAGAAAATGGAATATTCATCCTCCCTCTTATTCTCAACCACTCAGCCTGCGTTGTCTCTTGGGATGTTTTCAGCTATGCTGCATGGAAATCAGCCATTATAAAACAAAGAGATTCTCATTCTTTGAAATCTCTCTTACATCAACTATTATTCCCTCCCCTCCATATCATTCCTCCCACCTCCCACCCTGTAGCTGAAGCAATGCTGACCTAGCATAAAGCCTTTTCGGTATGGTAGATTGGTATATAAAGG